GTGCTGGTGCGTGCGTACCTCGGCGGACACGGGTGAAGACTTGTCTTCGGGCTTGACGTGCTTCATGCGCGAGCAGACGATGTGCCAGGCCGTGTTCACGGCGTCGGGGCACAGGTTGAGCGTCTGCGGCATGAGCGCGCCCAGGCAATACGTCCAGAAAATTTGATCCTATTGTAGTTTTATTTACAGAATATTAATTATTATCACTCCGTTAGTCTCCTTCACATTATAAATATATCAACAATATCGACAATGTAGACTATAATGGAACAAATAAAGAGTGGGCGATGATTGGTGTACGAACCTCGTTGCTTTGCGAGGACCACAAGCGCTCGAGTGATTTGACGTTGCCAGCGCCGGGACTGGCCTGCATGCGGAACACGAAATCCTGGTTGAGCCGGCTCACCACGTCGGGTCCCGTCTCGTCGATGATGTCCATCACCCGCGTCGGCGGCAGCTCCTCCTGCGCATGCGCAAATCACCAGTCAGCCTTAAGAACATAACACGCACACGACACACACGACACACACACGACACACACGACACACACGTGTTACCTCGCCATCGTCGTCATCCTGTGAGGCGACCTCGGACAGCGCGCCGGCGATGGAGCGGACGGACTGGAGGATCTCGACGGCGAGGGCGCGGATGTTGGGGTAGGGCAGGCAAAGGAAGGCCAGCGCCACGGCCTCGACTCGGTGCGGGTGGAAGTGCCGCAGCATCTCCACCTGCGTCTCCGGCACCGGATCGAACCCCTGCTGCGAGTGACGTGGTGCGACCGCTCATTGGATGTCAGCTCCGAGTTTGTTGGCCAATCAATGAATGACAGGTGGGCTGTGGGGGTGGGCGGACCTGAGCGGGCGAGGTGCTGAAGGGCTGGGCGAGGCTGGCCCCGGTGACGGGATCGTCGGGCAGGAAGCGGACGTCGAACACCTCGGCGTCCTCCGGGTGCAGCAGACTCTCCATGAGGCCGCGCGGCCACTGGTGCAGCAGATTCGAGAGCTGTGCGATGTACACCCACAAATAGTCAGCTGACCGCACACGCACGCACGACCGCACACGCAACACGCCGCACACGCGCATGCGCGCACCTTGTGGAGGGCGTGGTAGAGGAGCTTGTCGTTGGTGTCGGGAATGCTGAGGACCATCTCGGCGGCTCCGTACACCACGGCCGGACGCAGGAGCGGACACGCCTTCATGATCCGCGTCAGCGCAGCCAGCGCCTGCTCTCGCACATCTGTATACACGCAGAGTGTGTGTTGTGTTGTGTGTGCGTGTGCGTGTGCGTGTGTATGAGAGAGAGAGAGAGA